TTATTTAGGTTGCGCGTTGTTAGAATTAGCCGAACCATGGCTGGACGGTAATGCCCAAGCTGCCTGTTTTTCTGCTTGCGCGCCTGCGTGCGTGCGTGTGTGTTTGTGTGTTTGTGCTGTGTGTGTGTGTGTGTGTGTGTTGTGTGTGTGTGTGTGTTGTGTGTGTTGTGTGGTGCACGCGCGTGTGCGTGCGGTGCGTGCGTGGGTCGCGTGAGCGTGTGCGTGTGCTGTCGCGCGTGCGCGTGCGCGTGTGTTTCTGTGTTTCTGTGTTTCTGTGTTTCTGCTGTTTCTGTGCTTGTGTGTGTGCGGTGTGTGTGTGGTGTGGTGTGTGCGCGCGCGCGCTGTGTATTGTGTGTGTGTGTGTGGAGAGAGAGAGGAGGAGAGAGAGAGAGAGTGTGTGGTGTGTGTGGTGTGTGTGTGTGGTGTGTTGTTGTGGTGTGTGTGTGTGTGTGTCGGGGTGTGTCGGTGTGTCGGTTGGTCGGTGTGCGTGTGGCGTGTGCGCGCTCGTGCGTCTCTGTGCGTCCGAAACTTCATTTCATTCCTGAAACCCTTTCTAAATATTTCAGCGGCACTCGTAATCGGACTTGGTGTAATTATGTCTAACGTTAAGCCGCTGCATATGAAAAACACGTTTCCTCGCGCAGCCGCGTGTTATTTTTCAAAGAGCTTCAAATCTATACCCGTCAGATCCTTGCTATTACTGACAGCACAGCGCAGGCAGACAGGCAGTCAGGCATGCCATCAGTTCGGCGTAAAGGCAGTCAGGGAGGCAGGAAGGTATGTAGGCTGACAGACAGCGCAGGCAGACAGGCAGGCAGGCAGGTAGGTAGACAGGCAGACAGACATGCAGGCAGGCAGGTAGAGGATGAAACAGCCACCTGCACAGTCATAGAGCTAAAAGGAAAACGGATTGACGGACGGATACATTTGCATGCTTGGCGACAGACAGACAGACATGCAGACAGCTAGGCGCTCCGTGACTGTACGTCCTGACTCCTGCTGTCACAGAGCTTCTAATTTTTTTTCACTATTAAATGGAATTGCTACCGACGCGCTCACTATATAGTAATAACGCGAGTGAGTGATAGCCGGTTGCTGCTCCAATAAATTTTCCCTATTGCTACTAAGCGCTGGTTTATTTATAACTTGCATACAGTAGTCTATATCTCTTAGCTGCATCCATATACTGGCTTCTCCTATAACTTGGTATATTAGGCGGATTAGCGTGTGACCCACTCGTAACGCAAACGAAATCGCGTCCGCCTAGCGGCATAATAAAATAAAGTGGCTGTTAAGCGGTGGGAGCGGTAGTGTGCATGCATGTGTGCGTGCGCGCGCGCGTGTGTGTGCGTGTGTGTGTATGTGTGTGTTTGTTTGTGGTGTGTGTGTGTGTCGTTGTGTGTGTGTGTGTTTGTTTGTTTGTTTGTTTGTTTGTGTGTGGTGTGCTGTTGCGTGCGCGTGAGTGGTGTGTGTCCTGTTTGTGTGTGTGTGTGTGTGTGTGTGCGTGTGTGCGTGCGCGTGCGTGGTGCGTGCGTGGCGTGCGTGTGCGTGCCGTACAATGGGGACGTGATACCGGCAATCAGGTATAGATACTGTAACCATGCGATCAAAACCATTGCGATACGTCCACTCCGCAGAGTGAATGCGTGATCGGTGGCCAATCCTTTGTCTGATTTCCCCTGATGCATTCCTTCCCCTCCCACCTCCCCGCCCCTCCCTCATTGTCTTTACATCATGAACTGCGCATATGAATTGGCTGCGTGCAGAGGCGTATTATTGACTGACTGTTATACACACAGATATACAGACTATATGCAGACGTATACGGCACCTCTACTGTGTTTGTCGTTTGATTTCGTAGCGTACATTCCTGTTTCTTCGGACGCCGTGTATGATGAAATGTTGGCGACGTACCGTACGTGTGTGTATTGCGAGGCTTAACGCCTGTATTTCGAAATCATTGCTCGAAAACGCACAACCTGAAGAAAAATATAGCGAACTAGACAGAGGGCACTCACGGAGAGTGCATACCTCCGCGAGCATGTAACATGTATGTGCTCGCTGGTGGCGGCTGCTGGTGACTCGCCTGCTGCTGACTCGCCGCTCACTGGTGGCTGCTGCTGACTCGGCACTCGCTGACTTGACGCGCTATCGATCGGCGCGTGGCTACACACACACACACACACACACACATACACACACACACACACACACACACACCACACACACACACACACACAGCACACGAAGCGATTGCATGACCTCCGTTGCGCGGAGGTAATAATAGGGCTCACGTTCATAGCGGATATATTACTGTTATACCAACTTGAAACCCGTAAAGAATTTATGTTGCTATATCATTGAAATTGGGATTGAACACTACGTAACACCATGGCATGTTTGATTATAGCCGGATAAGTTAATTTGCAAATGGCGCCTTCAAAACAAGTGCACCCATAGTGAACCTAATAGGGTGTCTAATATTATATAATATAATATATAATATATATAAGTAATAGTGTACACTATATATATTAGTGTAAGCGTGCAAACAGTCGCGCCGCTAAAGCAATGGCGCCGGCAGCGCATATGGTTGGACGTAGGATTTGGGCGGATTACAGAAACTGTCGCAATAATAGTGTGAAGAGAGTATAGAAACATTAAGAATTTGGTAGTAAATAGATTCGTATTTAGTTAGCCATTATATTTTATTGAAACGCTTCCAAGTGCCTGTGGCCACATACGCGCGTAGTGTTAACTATAAATAGCAACGGGAACAAATTTTCCCAAAAGTACAGAGATGATTTAAGACATTTATTACCGTATTTTTAGAACGTTATGATGACTTTCACCGACTGGGAACCCAGTCTAGTGTCTTCGTTGCGTGTGATAGCAAATGGAACCGTACGTACTGTATTTGTCCAACGTTTGAAATAAATCACATTTTAACTAAGATTTGCGCACAATATAGAATGTGTGTAAAGCTTTCATTTATACATTGTAGAACAATACATGTTTTTGTTCAATTTTGTTGTTGTTACTTAGTTGATAAATGGAAAAATGCTCTGTTATAATTGATATCCTGTCTTTTAGGTTATAGGGATACATGTTTATAAAGACCCATTGAATGATTTCAGTACTAATTAATGCCAAAACGTAAATGATGCATGTGTAACAACTTTCGAGTTTACCTAGTAGCTATTTGTACACATGAGAATTAAGCATTCTAAAACTATTTTAAGTCCATCATTTATTGAAAGGTTTCCTTAATTTTTTTTCTCACCAAGTTTCTGTAATTGTCATCATGGACATCTGACGTCTCCATCGACATTTTCTCATTGCCATCATTCATACACATGCAGTTACATCTCATTCTCAATTTATATACTTAATAAAGCAACAACATTCATAATATGAATAGCATTCATTAATAAACTAACATTGTTTGAATGCATATATTTCAGTTATTAGTATTTTGATTACAATATATGTCCATACTATGCAGCTAAATTGCCATTTACACATGAAACAGGTGTCACGCATATATTTTTTATTATTATAATCAAATGGTATTTAAATTGAAGTTTTCATAGATATTAATAAAAGAAATATACAGAAAATTATGATCATGGTTTATCCCTGCTGTCGTTCTAAAATCGAAACGCATTTATTTCATTGCTATTTTTAAACTTGCCCTACATATGAATTATCACATTTGCAGGTTTCATACAAGTATACACGTACACAATTTCCCCATTTTCATTGCTTTGATTGCTTGTACAATGTATTTAGAGGTTAACATTCCTCCTTGTTTATATACATGTAGTTAGATGTGCATTAAACATGAATCAATATATATGCTTTGCAAGTTAATTACATGTATGTCTGAGTGTGAATTTATGTTGTATTAGAATTAAGAAATCCAGGGAGCAAAAAGACATCCATAAATAAATGATATGACCGAGACTGACTGAACTGACTAGCTGCAGTTAACTGACTGACCGAGAAGAACTGACACTGCATGTCTACCTAAAATATCCCACAATGACCACAATGTATATCATACACACACGTAAAAATCCAAAAAACAAAAAGCACAGGCAGATAGTCGATCGGTTCAGTACAGAAAACAAACGCACACGCGATTTTACAACATTCATGCATATTATGTAGCATACGGCAAGCGCATACGAGCGAACGCACGATCCAACTTTTTAGCTATGTACAAATGACCTATGACCCGATGACGTCATAGGGCTCCAGTGCGTAACTACGAAGTGGCTTATTCAAGCAAAAGGGTATCTGATTCTTAGCAGTTTACTACGTTTTTTTTTTAAATTGGTCGATATCTCGCGCTATCGCGAGATGTCCGAGATTCGCAAGAAATGGCGGCGGAAATCAAAACGAGTAATCAAAACTTGAATCGTGCATGTTTTGGTGAATATAGAAGCCATATACGAAGGTTCTAAGAAATGTTAGCGTCACTCTGGACAGTTGCTGTTACTCAAGCAATAACGGTAAGTATCGTATAAGTGGGGAAATCACGAGACTGGTCGGAAATTATTTTCGATAAGCTGCGAGGGATTTGTGGCATAGAAAGTTTGCCGATATCTGTAATATTAGTGTAATATCAGTCACTGAAGATGCCATGTTGAGTTAACAAGCGCTGTTCTATTGTTTATTGTCGCTTAGCCCTAATACAATTCTATTCATTTATATGGATGGTCACTTATGTTATGGATAATGCAATTTAATTATATTACATCTCTTCTTCTTACTTTTGATACTAAGTTACTTAAGATTTCTTACTCATCTCAAATCTAGGATATGTGCCTCTATACTGAACTGGAACAATTAACAAATCTACTTGCATTCTACAATATGTAACATCAACACATTATTATAGGTCCAGTCTTCTGGGTGGCTTTACAGTCCTGCCAGACCTTGTTGTGTATCTAGGAGACGTGCAGGGGTCTTCTCGGAGGATGTCATTGTGTCCGTCACCCGTTCGTGCTGTCCCGTCTCTCGCCTCTGATGCACTCTCGGTGTTCTCTTCGGCTCTCGTGTTGTTTGTCGCTGACGCCCAGCTGCCCGTCGTCCAATGTAGTAGTGTCCTGTTGGTTTGCTGCTTCTGATGTCTCTCGGAGGTGTCTGCGATTGCGGCGATACAGCCGACCTCTGCTGCAGATGACGTAGGATCTGGGTCTCCCATAGTGCTTTACCACCGTCCCCGATTTCCAAGACTTGGAGCCTGGAAGAGGGTTCATGTGTATGCTGTCACCTTGTTCTAGTGGTTTTAGCTCCTTCACACCTCTCTTAAGGTCATAGTAGACCTTTTGTTTTGCCTTCTTTTTATTGAAGTGTTCTTTCACTACTATAGCGTCTATTCTGGGTTTTAGGATTTCCGTAGAGGCAGGCAAAGTATTCCTGGGGCGCCCGCCCATCAGAAGTTGAGCTTGGGACAATTTAATTCCCTCCAACGGTGTAGTTCGGTAGTCTAGTAGAGTTAAGTATTTGTCCTCTGCCTTGCTCCATAGGCGTTTCACTCTTTGTATCGCTGGCTCTGCTTCCCCATTGGAGCTCTGGAAGTGTGGGCTAGAAGTCTGATGTTCGATTCCGTACGCCTGGCAGAATTTATTGAATCTAGTCGAGCTGAATTGTGGCCCGTTGTCTGATCGAATCCGCAGTGGGATGCCGTGGCAAGCGAATATTTGCTTCATGACGTTAGTTATCGATGAGGTTGTAGTTGAGCTCAGTTCGACGACGTCGATATATTTCGAGTAATAGTCCACTAGCAGTAGGTACTTGCTTAACTGGAAGTCAAACAAGTCACATCCAACCATGGTGTATGGCAGGTCAGGAGTTACAGTCGGCATTAATGGTTCAGCCCTCTGCTTGTTCTAACACTCTGCACATTTACTGCAGTTCTGGACTGTGTCCTCAATGGCTGAGTTTATATTAGGCCAGTACATCACTTCACGGGCTTGTTGTTTGCATTTGACTATGCCTAGGTGAGATCGGTGTATTATTTCCAGCATGTCGTTGCGTAGGGTAGGCGGAATTACAATTCTCGGTCCCTTGTAGATGATGCTATCACTTACAGCTAGCTGGTCACGTGAGTCCCAGTACTGTCTCACCTCAGCTGGAGCTTCACTTCTGTTGTCTGGCCACCCATTGCTTATCACCTGATATAGTGTTTGGAGTTCAGACTGTGTCTTCTCCTTGATTTCTACGTATCTGGATTTGCTGACGGATATCATGCTGATCACGTCGCTTTTCTCAAGATCGTCTGCTTCGACTTGTTTTCCGGGTAGATATGCTCGGGAGAGTGCATCCGACACAAACATCACTTTCTCCTTTCGGTATCTAACCTCGATGTCGTACCACTGTAATTTCAGCATCATTCTCTGGATTCTCATCGGAGCTGACAGTAGTGGTTTTGCGAATATCTGTTCTAGCGGTTTGTGATCATTGTGGACTGTGGTCTTCTTACCGAACACATAGCAGTGAAACTTGGTCATGCTGTACACTATCGACAAAATTTCTTTTTCGATTTGTGCGTATCGTTGTTCAGTTTCAGTCATTGCACGGGACGCATACGCAATAACACGACCTTCCTGCATGAGTACAGCACCTAACCCGTCTTTGCTTGCATCACACTCTATGTGCACGGGTTTGTTTACGTCGTAGAATGCTAGTACTGGAGATGTACTGCATTTCTGTTTCAGCTCTTTGAAGCTGTCTTCATGGTCGTGCTCCCATGCGAATGTCACATCTGACTTCAGGAGGCTCTGCAGTGGTGCGTCTACTTGGCTTAGATTGGGAATAAATTTTGCTAGGTACTGTGCCAGACCAAGCAATCTGCGGACTCCCTCCTTGTCACGTGGTGCTGGCATCTCGACAATGGCTTTGACCTTCTTTGGGTCTGGCTGTAGACCTGCCGTGATCACGTGCCCCATGTAGGGTACACTGGGTTGTCGTATGCTGCACTTGTCGTAGTTTAGCTTCCGATTGTACTGAGATGCTCGTTCAACTACTTGCCTGAATATTTCGTCATGATGTGCTTGGTTTCGACCTGCGATGAGGATATCATCCATGATGGCAAATGCTTTGTCAATTCCTTCTATCATCTGGTCCATGATCCGCTAATAAATGCGGACTTTATTCTGAATTGTAGTCTCAGCCACCTATATCTTCCTATAGGGCTGTTGAACGTGGTCAGGTATGACGACTTCAGATCCAATTCTATCTGTAGAAATCCTGACTTCACGTCGAGTACTGAGAACAGTGTCGCATCTGGTATGCATGCTATTACATCGTCTATTGTTTTCATGGGGTGATGTTCCCTTTTTATGACTTTGTTTAGATCTTTTGGATCTATGCAGATCCCGACCTTGTCTTTTTTAAGTGACACTACCATGGAGCTGACCCATTCTGTTGGTTTGCTCACTGGCGCGATGTATCCGTTCCTTTTCATTTCTCTGAGTTTCTCGATGGCACGCGGTTTTATTGCCGCTGCCAGTCGGCGAGATGGATGAATCACACCTTTTGCGCTTTCTTCGATCTTTATAGTGTATTCTCCTGGCAGAGTACCTGTGGTTTCCACTAATTCAGGATAATCACGTGCTATTTCTTCACGTGAGGAGAGTTCTCCGACAGCATCTACTCGCTGTATCAGACCCAGCCTCTCTGCAACATCACCGCTGATAATGTTTTCCTGATTCAGGTCGACGATCTCAAACTGTGCGCATGCTTGATTCTCTTTGTACTTCACTGGTAGGTTAACCGTCTCTACTGGTTTGACCTTGTGATTTGTATAAGACTTGAGGGTTCTCTGAGAGACTGACATCTTGATGCGTTCACCGAGAGATTCTAGTCTTTCTAGCTGTGGTTTAACTATAATGCAGCATTTCGACCCTGTGTCTATTCTGAACGGCACGTCGTGGTTGTATACCTTTAAGTGCACTAGCCATTTGTCACTAGAGAGAGTGTTCACTGGTTCCTGACTGTTCCTTTAGCCGGGCATTTTTCTTCATCAGGAACTCTGCCGCAGCTGGAGCAGTTGTTAGCATGACTGTGGCTATACCTCGCTTCTTGTGCGGAATCTCGTTCCTTGCTCCAAAACTTCTTCTGCTGTACGGGTTGTCTCTTCCAGTAGCTGTTATCGACGTGTCGCCTTGTTTTGACTGCGAGAATTTCTTCTCCATGCATCGTTTTCATTTGGCTCTGTGATAACTCAAATCGCTGCCCTATCTTAATAGCCTTCGCTATAGTGAGCTCTTGTACCTGATCTAGAAGACGTTCTTGTACCTTACGGTGTCGTACGCCGTTCATGATTAAGTTAATCATAATGTCATCTGGGTCTGTGTATTCACAGTCCATCAATAGAATCCTCAGATCCTTGACGAAATTATCAAACGTTTCACTTTCTGACAGATTGTTCTTGAGCCTTGAATCTCGCTACTCGCTTGTTTTTCCTAGGTCGGACATATTCTTCAATTTTCTTAAGAATTTCTTTGGGGTCGTCTTCTTGGCCCTGAGCCCATATTAACGTTTTGTAGACTTCCCTACCTTGTTGTCCTATCCACATGCCTAGCCATCTTGCGCGATGTTTGTCATCTGTACTGGCAAGCGGTCCCTTAAATGTAACCAATTATGAAGATAAGCGAAAGTAGACCGAAAAGCGTGGATGTTAGTAGCAAACCTATTAGCTAAAAGGACGGTTTTACGATGGACAGATGGCCGTTGCATGTAGATTTTCCTCTTTATATACATCTTTTTTTATATTTTATATGTATTTCCCCTCCCCCCCCCATATTTTATGTATTTTTTGTGCTTCTTCACAAAACCCGGCAGAGCGTGCTGTACGCGCCGCCATGTTTGATTCGGCCTCGTCATTCGACGCTGGTGGCAGTCATGTTTAATTTATTCTTGTCATTCGACTGTTGTGGCCGCCATGTTTGATTTACCCTCGTAATTTTCGTCAACAACGTTTCAATCACGCCGACGCTGGTGGCAGCCATGTTTGATTTATCCTCGTCATTCTCGTCAATAATGTTTCAACCACACAAACGCTGATGGCCGCCATGTTTGATTTATCCTCGTCATTTTCGTCAATAACGTTTCAATCAGGCGGACGCGCGTCTTCATCAATACGTCATTGACGGTCGCATGACGTCTAAACATGCGCATGCGCGCGACCGTCCGTCGTCCTGCAGTGGTCGACCACGGCGTGTCTGATGGATCGGTTCCCACTCTGTCGGCATTTGCCGCACATTTGAACGTCGGCTGATAAAACGCGCAAAGCCGCTATTAGGAGGCGATATTTTTGCTATGAAAGAGATCGTTGATGGGATTCGTGGCGCGTGTGCTGGTCACCGAGTTACGCTGTGGTAGACATCCCCCTTATCAATCCCCCTGTGAAAACGTTCTCTCTTATACATTGCACGTGGACATCGGTATTGACATGTCTAGCAGGGCGCATATCGCATTGCACGTGGGCATGGTAATTTAACCTTTATTGGGGTGGGGGTACAATGCAGTACTGCATATATGTTATAGGCCTACAGTGGCGTACTCTAGTGTAGGACTATGTTATAGGGCTACAGTGGTGTACTCTAGTGTACGACTATGTTATAGAACTACAGTGGTGTACTCTAGTGTACGACTATATCATAGAACTACAGTGGCAAACTCTAGTGTACGACTATGTTATAGAACTACAGTGGCGGATTCTAGTGTACGACTATGTTATAGAACTACAGTGGCGGACTCTAGTGTACGACTCTATCATAGAACTACAGTGGCGTACTCTAGTGTACGACTATGTTATAGAACTACAGTGCTGTGGCGGACTCTAGTGTACGACTATGTTATAGAACTACAGTGGCGTACTCTAGTGTACGACTATGTTATAGAACTACAGTGCTGTGGCGGACTCTAGTGTACGACCATGTTATAGGGCTCAGTGGCAGATTCTGGTGTACGACTATTAAGCAATAGATTGGAAACGGGTTGTGAGTTGCAGTTGAATGTCGCAAATGGGCAGGATATATTTCACAGCGGACAGTCCGTCATTCAATCTGCTCTGCAAATATTTGCGTAACACTGGGAGGAAAAAATCCGTTGTTATGTACGGACGTATGTAGTTAGTGGTGGGATCGATGGGCTGTCTGATCTTACACTACATTGCTCTACGCATTCCTGACATTGCCAGCATCGCGCTCATTCCCTCTTTCTCTCGCTTTCTCTCTCTCTCTCCGTCTCTTCTCTTCTCTCTGCTCTCTTCTCATCATCTCGCTCTGCTCTCTCCCTGTCTGCCTCTCTCTCTCTCTCAATCTCTCGTCTCCTCTCTCTCTCTCTCTCCTCTCGCTCTCTCCTCTCCTCTCTCTGCTCTCTCTTCTCCTCTCATTCCTCTCCCGTCCTGCCTCTCTCTCTCTCTCTCCTCTCTCTCAGTCTCTTTCTCGGTTCTCTCTCGTCTCTTTGTTTTTCTTTTTTTTCTATCTCTCTCCATCGCCTCTGTCTGTCTACTGCTCTTCTTTCCTCTCTCTGCTCTCTCTCTCTCCCTCTCTCTCTCACTCTCTCGTCCCTCTCTCAGCTCAGCGGCGCGCAGCAATCTCTTTCTCTCTCTGCTCTCCTCTCCGTCTCCTCCCCGTCTCTTCTCTCCTCCCTCTCATCCATCTCGTCGTCTCCTCTCTCTCCCTCTCCATCTCCTCTCTCTCTCTCTCTCTCTCCTCTCCTCCCATCTCTCTCTCCCTCTTCTCTCTCTCTCTCCGTCATCTCTCTCTTCTCTCAATCTCTTCTCTCTCTCTCGTGTGTCTCTCTCTCTCCCTCTCTCTGTCTC